GGCAGAGCCAGGACAATTCAGCTGCTGGATTTTAATAGATTCTGCAGCAGTGCAACAGGAACCAAAAATCAGTCTGGGTAACTGAGAGTGGTTTTCACACCCAAGGACTCTAAGGGCTGGCCACAGTGTACTGAGAACCCTGGCTTTTCAAAATTCCAGGGCCATGAAGTCATCCCCAGCCACGAAGTTTACTTAACCCTTGCAGCCGGCTCTGGGGGGTACAAACCACTGCTGGAAAACTAGAACCCGCCGGGCCAGAGTCACAATGGCCTGTGTGTATTTGCGGTTTTCCTCTTTCCCAGTGAAGTATTTAGGGTTTGAGAGTCACTCCACCAACTTCAAGTAAAATAGTCAGCACTTTAGAAGGAAATGGGCAGAAGTAGTGGATTTTTCAGGAGGATTTTCTGGGTTCATACCAGGAAGGCTATTTGACAGCCTCAGAGCACACACTTGGAGGAAAACACTGGTACAAAATAAACAAGAGCGAGTGCTGACGAGACAGCTATCTAAGCAGCACCATTTAGCAGCTAGTAGAGTGGGCTCTCTTTGTGGCAACTTCATGGGAAAGAGCCCCATCTGAAAATGCTGCTAGAAGGCTTTGTTTGAAAATGCAGCATCATGTAAGAGTCATTTCAACAGATGGTTCCTGTCCCTTTCCTCACAGTATTAGGCTAAAACAACTTCAGTGATTCTGAACTGCATTGTTAACACTTGTAAACCCCTTCCCCCCAAACAGAGAAGACTTCTCTTCTTCTCTGGCACAGTGTCTAGTGGCCTGAATAGTGGTCCTCTCTCCCCTGAGAGAAAGTAATAAATAAGAAGAACAACTTTCAGATGGTCCTATCACATGGGGGGAAAGGTAGGCAGAGAACAAATATACATTAACTTTTATGCTACAGTACTTCCTTTGCTGCTAAGAGAAATAGGACTCTACTTTCTTGCCTTTCATGGACTCTAGATAATGCAAAACAAATTAAAAGGTGGGAGGCAAGGGTGAGAGGGGAGTTGGCGGGAAACAGCAGAAGTCCCTAATTCCAACAGCTCTGTGCATCTGATCTGACTCTCACCTCTGCATGTGTGAGGCTAAGCCAGCAGCTTTCTCTTGAGCTTCTCTGCCATTGCCACCCTGGAGTAACACGATTATAAACAACAAACTTAGCACACAGTTATTTCAGTGACTTCTCATGAGGAAATACTGAAATAGCGCCTCCCTCCTATCTTAAATTCAAAGGTAGGAAAACTAAAAACAGAAACTGTAAACCTGGGGAAAGTAAATATTTATATTAGCAAATTTAAAAATTGAATACTAAAGAGCCAGGAAAAGGGAAGATTTCAAGCTAAGGCCACCATTAATGTGAAATTTCCAGGTCATATATACGGTCGTTACATGTGGTTGGGGGACCAAGATGGGGCTGGGATAGGTAAGAGGGGTGAAGAAACAATTTGCAGCACTGGAAGAAATCCTAAGACATTGATACCATTAAAAACATCGGGGTAAAAGACAAAACTACAGAAATTTAAAAGATTACTGGTTGGGGGAGAGGGCGATAAATAGAGCACAGGTGATTTTTAGGGACGTGAAACTATTCTGTATGATCCTGTAATAATGGATACATGTCCTCATGCATTTGTTAAAGCACATAGACAGTCCAACATAAACAGTGAACCCTAATGTAAACTATGGACTTTAGCTAATATAATGTGTCAATACCCTCTCATTAATTGTAACAAATGTACCACACTAGGAAAAGATGTTACTAATAGGGGGAATGGTATAAGGGGTGTTTTGAAATTCTGTACTTTCTGTTAACCAAAAACCATACAACTAAACGGCTCTGAAAACAATCTAGTCATTAAAAAACAAAACAAAACAAAACAAAAAAAAACATACCAGAAAACAAATCCAGAAGAAAAATTTTTAATTAAGTGTTTTACTTGTTTTGGTTGACATAAATATAGTTTTAACCTTTTTCAATGCACCAATTAACAATCTAAAGGTTTATCAACCCTAACAAGAAACAATTATTTAACAAAAGCACAGAATCTTTGGGTTCTGCTTAGTTTTATAAAGCAGTTATAGGAAAGGTCATGATAAAAATGTCTGCAGTCAGCTAGCTGAGTACAGGAAAGTAAAAAGAGCAACTTTCTTAGCCTCTTTGAGCACTGTGGTTGGTGTCTATCTGTTAAAAGGGACCAAGAGCAGCAACCACGGGAGGACTGGACGAGATATGTTTATGAAATGCCTAGGACAATGCCTGGCACGCGGAGTATGCTTGATAAATGCTAGCTACTATAATTTTTCATATTAGTGTTGGATCACGCTCTTAACAGGGCTAACATCATGCATTTCATCAACTTATGTGCCAGTGAGCTTATTGCTATTTTAGGGTTGCAGAATGCACCCAGCCCCATTCATCTGTAAAAAGTGTCTGCCGCACCTCTAAAACGGGCGCTTAGCTATTCCAGCATGGGCAAGGGTGCAGCACTGCAAGGACTGGTTATGGATTTCGACTTCATCATGTGGTTTGAGTGTTAAGTCTTTCGGAAAGGTGTGTGGGTCAGGAAACCTGACCTGAGGGATCCTTACCCCAGCAGCCAAGGCAATCTTGAGACATCTCCCTGACCAACCTGGACTAAAGATCTGCAAGGAGGAGGAACCCTGGATGGCAGTTTGGCCCGAAGCCACGGTTTAGCTGACACAGCCCAACCCCACTCTCGCCAAACAGTTTCAGTCAGCACGAGGCCATGTGTGAGTGAGTCCTAGAGCGATTACGCAGCAGTGTGCAGAATCAAAAAGCATTCAATAGCTGAAGGACACTCGTGAGGCCAGGCATGTAACACAAGCCCCTAAACAGGGAAAGGAAACCAAACCAGGTCCCTCTGCAAATTCAATCTGTGGTCCAGCCATACCCTCTGGCAGTTTGGAAGGCAGGTTTAGGATTCACTGGGCAACCAGGCCATCGTAGGCTGCATGGAGGTCTGATCAAGCTTGGGACTAATAAGCCTTGGGATATAAGACCTTAACGGGACGTACAAAAAGTGGAAGAGGGATGTGATTCTGGGGATGGTTCTGAGCAGCATGAGCCTTCCCATACGACCCCCAGGCCTCGAGACACTGATGGTAATGAAGACTAAATGCAAGCATTAGAGCAGCCAGGGTAGATTAAAAAGGTCTAGTGCTCCAGTCTTAGAGTTCAAAGGATTTTCACTCCTGAGGCTATGTTTAGATCCTAGTAAGGGCTCAATAAATGTGTTTCCCTGTAATGCCACTATGACAGTTACACTCTGATATATACAACCTATATGACTATTATTAAAATTATAAGAAAAATATGAGATAGTGATCGTTTTTAAGAGTCCTAAAAAGTAAAAAGAAGTGTACACACACACACACACACACACACACACACACACATTGTTATTCGTCTATGGCAAATAACTGGCTAATCAGCTATGCTAGAGAAGCATGTATCCTCCAAGTTAACAAGGCAATCTGTTCTCTACTTCACTGGCTAGGGTTGGTATTTTAAGCATATTTCATAATATGACAGCAACTCTTCCCTTCTATCTCACAACCTGCCACTGCTAATGACTCCTGGCTTAGGGTTCCGACCCCCCTACACCAGGATACCCCTGCATCAACCAAGGATCCCTGACTCCCAGAATTCTAACACCCATAGTTACCTTCCTGCAATTTTCTCTGTCTAGCCTCACATTGTAGATTTCTTCCAGTTCTCTTGGGCCAGTCTAATAACATGGATTCTAGCATTATATAGATTTAACTTAACCATTTACCCACCACTTGGCTTTGGGCAAATGACTTCAACAGACCCACAGTTTAACTCATTTGTAAAAATGAGAGTAATTTCTTATCTGACATGTTTATTGCAAGGATTAACTTATGTAACTTAGCACAATGTCTGGCAGATAGTGAATGCTCAACAGAGATTCCCTGTCTATTCCCGGACGCCCAGATCCCCTGCTTTATATACCATTTTTGGATTCTTTAGAGCCTTCCAGCCTTATGAAATAAGAGAAGATAGAATCCAAAACTGTGAGATCAAGATGACTTGGCTTGCTTGACCTGACATCTTGCCATAAGATCGACTGGTTTACTCTGTCAATCTTGCAAGACAGTAATTCAGTGAATGGGTGGTGGTGGTGGTGGTAATGAACTTGAAAAGAAAGTATTTCTTTTACTCCACCTTATTCCACAAATGATTTGCTTCAGCTTGAAACCAAGTTTAACAATGTAAATTTTATCTACAGGTGGTATTTTGAAGTAGGAGGGTGATAAAACATTTTAATATTTGGTATATATTTTTTCTTATGATTGGGACCTCCAACATAGTCATTGTAGGTATGCTTTTAAATAAATACAAAGTGATGTTTTTGAGTGAAGGCAACTGTGTGTGTGTGTGTGTGTGTGTGTGTGTGTGTGTGTGTGAGAGAGAGAGAGAGAGAGAGAGAGAGAGAGAGAGAGAGAGAGAGAGAGAATATCCTATACCTTCTCCTTGGACTATCTGGGTTATGTCATAGCAAAAATACAATCAATGACCCTTTGATCAATGGAACAGGGTGGTGACAGGTGCTCTTAATTCACTGTTGTTGGTGATTATTGACAAGCTGGTAATGATCATGCTGCACTGTGTCACTCATGCTGAGGGCATTAGCATTCTTTAAAGGTCAAATACAATTTTTTTAATGCAGAATTTCTTAGAAATCAGGAAGCCTCAGAAATGTTTTAAGCCAGGCTCACACTATACACTAGGGAATATGTGAGACACTCAGGATTTCAGTTCATTCCCTATGTCTCACGTTAAAATATCAAATTTTCCTGCTTTAAATTCTTGGCTGTTAAACAAACTACGTGGCAAGTCTTCCAATGGGTGGAGGACAAGGGGATTCTGAAAGCTCTTTATGGCTCTAGGATGCCTAGGCAGAAAGGAAGCACAAACCAAAGGCAAATCTGTACCAAATCAAAGCAAAATTATACTTACTCTGTGACACTCTTACTAGTTCAGTCACACTAAAAACACCTGATGTGACAAAACTGTCCTGGAAGCCCAAATGTCCTGGGGAAACAAAAACAAAAGAAACAAAGTGTCATAAATAGAGGATATTTGGCAACAGAATTCTAAACATGAATTTCACTATGATTAAAAAATATGATGTCTAACTTCATATTCTGCTCTGGTTGGAGTTTCTGTGGGAGGGTACAGTCATTTTGATATATAGAAGGGTTTTTTTTGTTTTTTGTTTTGTTTTGTTTTGAATCTGGAGGTTATGGAAAGCTATGACACAACAACTGTGTGATTTTCAAAATGGTTAAAAAAAAAAACTCAACAGGAAATCTGAAACAAAAGACGATTTAAAATAAATGGTTACCTTGGCTGGCCTCTGAGACCTTCACAACTGGTATGAAAACAGCCTACCTAAGAATCAGCCAGGATAGCTAAATTCCCTAACAGTTTTTAAACATTATGCTCTAAAGAAACATCTGATGGGGATTAGCTATCCATTCATTCAAATCAAACAAGATTTAAAGATGTTCTCTTCATTTCTAGAGGCACCACAGGGTAAATCTTTAAAAAGCCAGACTACAAAAAACAAGCCCTAACCCTTGAGACACAAAAACAAATTCTTTTGAGCACAAATAAAAATTTAGATTTGTTTCAAGAACAAGAGGTTTTTGTAGGTGGGTTGATTAAAAAAAAAAAAAGATAAATTAATGGTTCAAAAGGACTTAGTCTTTGAATTTTGTATCTGTTTCATTTTTGCTGGATATAATTAATTTCCTTTAAGATATCTGATATTACATCTATTTTCAACTGCTTATTTATTTTTATAGTATATTCAAGAACATGACATTTATCAATGGCAAGAAATATATAATTGATGCCATGTCATTTCCTCTCTGCCTCTAAAGTTTTCTCATTCTATGCCTCTCACATGGGTACAGCCTAGCTGACAGATCTGTGTGTAGTTAGTGTAATCATCTGCTTTAAAACCAGGGCCTAAGGAGAAGTTGTTGGCTGAAGGGTTTTTTAAAATAACTGTTCTTTGAAATAAGGAATACACCTTTAGGAAATGCCACATAAGAAAACAGACCAATCTGAATCCATAACCAACAGTTCATAAATAAAATTTATGTTATAAACAAAAGTCCACTATGAAAGGGAAGCAAGTTTACCTATGGCATAGTTTATGTACCAATAAATGTGTTAAATGTCATGCATATAAACACATGCAAAAAATCACCATGTTCTGGAAGATTATAAATGGACCTATAAATTCTTTTCCTTTTGGTTACATTGGTCTTCCACATAAGAAATGTATTTTTTTACTGGGATTTAAAAGAAAATTTTCAGTTAATTTTTAAATCAAACACAATCTATGATATTTTAGATTAATAGCTCTCATTTTTAGAATACTCAACAATCATAAATTACTTTTAAAAAGAAAATGGCACTATATGTGGTGATGGATGTTAACGAGACTTATTGTGGTGATCGTTTCCCAATATATCCACATAGCAGATCATGTTGTACACCTGATGTTATGTCAATTATATCTTAATTTTATAAAAAAAGGGAAAAAAAGTATATACACAATTTTTAAAGTGGCAAAATTTCATTTAAAGAATTGCTTAAGAAATTTTATCTCCCAAATAACCCACACCCAGGAACTTAGTTGACGTATTTGGGAAGTGCCTGAGGTGCTGTCTCTTGGATTAGAGAACTGAGAAGTAAAAATAAATAAATCAACCAAAAGTCTCTAACATGGTCTTGGCAAAACAGACTCTCACATCTCTTTCTGTTGTGACAATGTTCACATCACATTTATCCCACAGACCATAACAAAGGAAATCCAGCCACAGAGTACATTAAGTTTGACTTCAAACATGTAACAAAGGAAATTCGCAGTTGAATAGGAAAATCTGGGTTGATCTCCAGCCCTTGCTCATCTCTCTCTGCATGTCACCTGCAGGCCGATACTCGTTTCCGTTCCAACCTCTGGAATTCCTTATTGTAAGGAAAACTTAACATGAATTTCTGCATAGAGTGAATGTGAACACAGGTACTTTAATCCTGCCACCAAAAAAGCAAGCAATATATATTGAAAACTAAGTTTAGTTTGGCACAACGGCTTGGGAGGGGGAAATCCCTGTGTTCATCCATTCAAACCCTCACCCTGTCCCAACGGCCCCTTTTCTTTTGTTCACCTCTTAAAAGTTGGTGTGCTCCAGGGTTTATGTTCATCATATATATATATAACATATATACATATATGTTATATATATATAACATATAAAAATAAATGATATATATTGGACGATTCATTCATTATATACCTGGGGTGCCAAAAAAATGTATATATTTTAAGAGATGTTATCTATATATTCATTTTCTACCAGACAATGCTCGCCATAATCAGATGTGTCTGGATGCTGATGGTAACCACTTTGAACACCTCTTGTAATTGCAGAAGTCAAATGTGACTTGTATTCATTGTTTGTTAACGGTATATATTGAATATTACAATTTTAATACAGTTTTTCCCTTTCTTAAAATGTATATACATTTTTTTGGCCATATATATATATATATATATATATATGTTATTGTCTCCATTTTCATGGTATCAGCTACCAGGCTTGTCTGTGATATTTGGGAAAGCTTGAATAATGTTTCATTCTCCACTGTATTTAATGCCTGGAACAAAGCAGTTAATATGTAAGTATTTGTTGTTGAATGAGTAGATGAATGAATCTATAAGCCAATGACTCTCAAATCTTTATCTTTTGCCAAGATCTCTCTCCTGGGTTCCAAACAAATGAATCAAATGTTTATTGCATATTTCTATCCAGATGGCCCACGGGGATCCTCAGACCCAACATGTCCAAAGCCGAGCTCATTTTCCTCTCCCCAAAAACCTGTTCTTACTCTTTTGACTTCCCTACATCAATGAACCATCCACTGTTCACCTCATTTTCTATGTTTTGCTGTCATCCTTGATGCCTGCCTCATAAATACCCACATCCACCTAATCCTCACTGATTCCATTTCTTACTATTAATATTGCTTGACTCCACGTCTCCTCTTCCCTCTTATGACTGCGGCTCAGGCTTCTCCCAGTTCTCACCAGCCTCCTGACTATGTTGTCTATCATCAGCCTTGGCTTCTCCACTAGTCCATGTTCCACTGTGCAACCAGAGCTGTCTTACTAACAAGTTAAATCTGATGATTCATTCAGTTATTCAACAAATATTTACTGAGTCCCTATCAGGGGCCAGGTGTTGGCCTAGGGGTTTGAGATACAGTCTCTACCTTCAGGGAATTTACAGTCTGTGATTAAAGACAGCTGAAAATGTAAAACAAATGATTTCAAAAATTATAAGTGGTATAAATGATATGAAGGAAACAAATAGGAAAAATTTTAGAAAGGGTGGGTAGGGAAGGTCTCTCTTAAGAGCTGACATCTAAAAGATACTAAGGAAACAGCCAGGAAAAGAAGGGGGGCAGAGCCCTTCTGGCAGAAGATCAGCATGTACAAAGGCCCTGAGGTGGGAAAGAATGAGGTGTTGGAGAATCTAAGATAAAACCAATGCGTTCAGAGCTAAATACCTTGTCAGAAATCTTGCAAGATCCCCACAGAGATTTTAGGGTCCTTCACATGGCATGCAACCTTCATGTAGCCTGTGTTTTCCTCTCCAGGCTCACTTTTTATCTTTTACCTCTTGCTTGCAGCCCTACTCCGTGGCCCAAGTGAATACATGTTCCTCCAAGGTCCTGGCTCAGCCCCTCCCCTCACAGTGTTCCTTCTTCTCAGACTTCCTGTCCTTCCTACTCTTTACATGGACTTCCTGTCAGTCCCACGACTTGTCTTTGGGGCTCAGCTTTGTTGTCATCTCTATCAAGGCCTTCCCTGGTTACTGCACTGTTGGAGAAGCCTTCCTTTCTCTTTTCTTGATATTGACCTACGGTGTTATGTATACCTCTAACCTAGGACTTAACACACTATTGTATTGGGTTGTCAGAAAAGTCATGACGCATTTTTGTGACGAAAAACATAGAAAAAATATGTCGTGACTTTTCCGACAACCCAATAATTATCTCTTTTTCGCATATTAGACTACGAAACCTTTGAGAAAGAGCATCTTCCAGGTCTCCAGCCCCCCACATCCTAACACAGTGCCTGGTATGCAGTGAGCACTTCAGAGATGCCTCTGAATAAACACAACTCAAATTGGGCTCAATATGTGTATTTTCCTTTTCATAAAAACATTGACAGAACTTTATATATATGTATGTATCTATATCTCAATCTCATTCTCTTTCTCATCTCTAGCAGTACAGTTTGAACTAAAACCATGCCAATGTGCATCTGAAAACTATTAAAATGAGCCATCCAAAGGGTCTCTCCAAACTACACAGAACAAGGACAGAACAGACAATTCCTTTAGATACAGTTTCTGATCAAGAAGATGCCATCGGGTTCTCTGATGAAAAACGTCTGAGGGTTGTCCTATTGTTGAGGTTATGGTTCATGTTTTGGGGCCAGGTAAAAACAGAGTTGAAAGGCAGCATTATTTAACGAACATAAGGGGCTAAAAAAAAAAAAGACAGAAATAATTTAGTCTGAAGCATAAACTAGGATCTGTGTGATCCTGAAAAAGTCATTGACAAAACAGCAATTTGGTCTTCCTTCCCCTCCCAGCAACCTGCCTTCTCAGGCTTATTTTAGTAGAATGTGTGTAATTCAGAATGTGGAATATATGTGAATGTAGAATAACAGAAAAATAAAAATAAGAGTAGAATTATTTCAGAAATCCCGATGTAGTATCTCTTCACAGTGGTATGAAATTATCAGATGGCCTTGACTATATTTATAATGTGTCCCCAAGGAAAGGTCTGTGTAAACATGCCATGTAACTTTAAATGACTATGAAACTGGTTTTGTTCCTTCACCAATTATTTGGAAACCACTGATGAACTCCAGAGGAAGACAGCAGTGAGAAATGAAACCTAAGAAATGATGGAAAAAATGACACAGCTAATGTAATTACTAAGCA